AAAAAAAAACACCCCAGCATTGCGTGTTGCGCCCTCCCTCTCTTGGGGTGCAGTACTACGATGCCGCTGGGGTCACTCAAACCCTCAGAACTGAGCCTCTACTTCAGTCAATCCTCTTTGATCCCCTCTGCTGCGTTGTTTTTTCCGTATTTTTGAGTGTTCCAATACAATGAACGCGTTTTTTAAATTTTCCCACGAGTTCTCAATTAAATGACACCGTAATTAGCTGAAAAATGAAAAATTCTCATTAGTGTGATAACCGGCAGTGAAAAATATTATTTTCTAATTAAAAAGAAGTCACTCGATGATTAGAGGTTAAATTTAGAATTGTTGATATTTACCAGAGGTCGAGTGATCATATTTATGAGATTTTCATGAATATTTACTGAAACACTGATAATGGCTGAGAGTTCAATATCCTTGGAAGAAGGCCCTTCGTCTCCAGACCTTTTTTCTGATCCCGACACTCAAGAGGGCTCCAGCATTCCCCAATTAGATGAATGTATGATCTCCAATTAGTGACTGAAACCACCCCAAGTTTAGTCCATCCAAAAATAATTATTTTTTTTTTAAAATCGCATTAGCATATGCGAGTTCAGATGGCAGAGAGCCAGAGCCTTCGGTGGACGAGCCCCAGTGGCGAGGAATGAGTATGGACGAGATAAATAAGGGCCAGATGCCCTTCAGTTTCCACCAGCATCCTCCAATAAGTCCCTCATCAACTCACACAGTATTAATTCGACTGCCCCTGGATAATCGAGGGCCACCAAGGCCTTATCCAACTCGTTCATCCGATAAATGGAGTGTTGGATACGTCAGAATGCCAAATTCACCACAAAGTCTATATCCCATCGACCACGGGGACGACAGACCTAGGGAATTTCGACTGCGATGGGAAGTCATTCAGGAGTCGTTATTGCAGAGTTTCGTTTCGATTGCACAACTGGAGGCAGCAATTCTCTCTTACAATCACAATTACGCTGATCGATGGGACTTCTGTGCCCTTCATCATTTTTTCTCTGATATTATTGATGAGGAGGAGGCTGAGATATTCTTCAGGACTCTTCTCCCGAAGATGATACAACTCGCTCTACAACTTCCAACTCTTCTCACTGGGCCGATACCACTCTTGAAGAAACACACCAATTGCTCAATTAGCATGAGTCAACTCCAGGTGGCATCTCTCTTGGCCAATGCCTTCTTCTGCACTTTTCCTAGACGTAACTCCATGAATCCTCAGTCTGAGTATGCCATGTATCCTCATATCAACTTGAACAGTCTCTTTGCCTGTTACAAAGAGGAGAGGCCCAACAGGTCAGCAGCAGTTGCAGAAAAGCTCAAGTGTCTGTTTCATTATTTTCGACGAGTTACGACGACAGGTAACATTCACATGAAATTTAATTTTCAATAGAAATGCGTTTTCAAATTTTTGTATGCAATTCGGTTACCTGAAATTAATTGATTTTTAATTAGTAATTACAATAATTGTAAGTATGCAAATATCTATTCAGGGGTTTTAATTCAATTTTGTTATGGAAGAATATTCCATTGAGATAAATTAGGGATTGATCTTATGAGACTATTTATGCATTTTTGATAGAGCAGCTCCAGAAGGAACGATAACAGTCCAACGTCGTTACATCCCGAAAGAGGACTGCCCAAGGTGGGATAGATTGCACAATTTATTGCCAGCCCTACACATCACCAGCAGTGGCACCATTGAAGCTCAAGGAGCTGGACTCCTTCAGGTTGATTTTGCTAATAAGTAAGTCACAACAGATATAAAGTCGTGGTATAATTTTATCATTTATTTCCATCATTAAGAACAATTGTTCTATTTAAATTCAGATATGTTGGCGGTGGGGTATTGAACTGGGGCTGTGTCCAGGAGGAAATTCGATTCGTCATCTGTCCGGAGCTCATGGTGACAATGCTAATTACGGAAGTGCTCGATGACACTGAGGCCCTCGTTGTCACTGGGATTGAGAGGTACAGCAAGTACCAGGGTTACAGCAGTAGTTTCAAATGGATTGGGGATTTCGTGGATGAAACACCGAGGGACACCAGTGGCAGACGCAAAACTTCTGTAGTTGCCATCGATGCTCTTTACTTCACACAGGCAGACGCACAATTCAACATGAAAAATATTATTCGAGAGTTGAATAAGGTTTTACTAATTCTTTTGATTTATCGCCCCAAATTCCTCATGTTAAATATAAATTTTCCTGTCGGGATTAAAATAAATTCTCCATTTTCGATAAAGTCGCAGAAGAAAAGGAAATCAATTCTAATTTTGTTGTTTTGTCATTTATTCAAGGCTTATGTTGGATTCAGTGCACCTGAAATGCGGAGGAACGATCTCTCAGCGATAGCCACTGGAAATTGGGGTTGTGGGGCATTTCGAGGGAATCCTAAGCTCAAAGTACTGATTCAATTGATGGCAGCTGCTGTGGCTGGACGCTCAATGGTGTATTTTACATTTGGAGATGCTGAACTGAGAGATAGTGTCAGCGAAATGTATTGGCATCTTCTCGATCGCAGCATTGACATTTGTGAGTATAATTTACACGCGAATTAAATAGTCATTTTATCGTTGCAATTCATTTTCAGCTCGATTAATTTCACTTCTACGTCAGTACGAGGCAGAATCCACAACAGATCATTCGGATTTTTACCGTTTCTTATTTAACCGAAGTAAGATAAAACCCTTGACTAATTATTTCCCAGTTGTGAACCCCTCGAACGTTGAAAATACAAACGACAAAATCGTTAATTCGACAAAGAGTTCGGTCCAGGGAATAGTGGGGCCCATCCAAAGAAATAAATTGTCGAATGAGGAAGAAGAGGAGATGATTAGAAATATGTTAGATGAATATGCTGATGATAATTCTGATGAACGTGGACAGGGCAACTGCTCCAAGACTGAAATTATTGAATCTGTGGAGAGTCCAGATCTTTCGAGAAAAATTTCTGACTTTGAAACCGAGAAGGAGAAATTGGACACAGAATTATTGAAGAAGACTGAAGGCTCAAAAATACCACGAATATCACCGTTAGATGAACTTGTAGGCAGCCAGGAAATCCTTGAAGTGGTAGTGATCCCACAGTCTCAGCCACTGGTGAAACACGAAACTCATGCTAATGAAAAAAAATTAAAATCCCCGAGTACGTGTTCGACAATTGGGAAAGGCCAGAAAAAGATATCGGACTTCTTTGTATTGAAAACATCCTTGTTATAAAAGTGAAGTATTCAATGTCATAATTGGATAAATCCATAATTCGATAATGATCATTCACGTTTGTACATATTAAAACATAATAAAAATAATTTTAAAAACTAAAAGAATTTTTTGACTTCAGCATGGTTTGTCTTTGTGCTCGAGAATCCAGAAGTGCTTTTTCACCATTGGCAGTGAAATTCGTTCGTGGCAGTTCTTCTTGATCAACTGTAACCAAAAAACAAGTCGATATTTTTTTATTGATATCTCACGATTTTTTTTCATGCCTTTGCGGAAAATTTATGAATAAATTAATCGGTAGTAAAACAATTTGATACCTTTGAAATGAGATCTTTAGCTCCAGGAGTAATATAATGTGGCCAGTAGATACTAACAGTCTTAATTTTGCTATACGTCTCCTGCTGAGATTCACTGAGAAATGGTGGTTTACCAACCAAGAATTCATAGCATAAAATGCCTAAACACCAGTGGTCAACGTAAATACTGTAGGTCTGGCCCTGCACCATCTCTGGGGGGAGATAGTCCAGTGTACCACATAACGTGGTCCGTTTTGATGATGGGGCGTGGACAGACCAGCCAAAATCTGCAAGCTTGATATTTCCCTTTGAATCCAATAACAAATTCTCAGGTTTTATGTCTCTGTGGATGACATTGTTTTTGTGACAAAAATCGAGAGCATCCGCCACTTGGTAAGTGTATTTTGCAGCACTGAAATTAAATCATTCATTCCATATAATTCTCTAGCAATAGTATGTCCAAATAATTCCATCAAAATTGCAAGATAAATTGCATATCATTTTTTTCAAAGCCTTCGGATTTTCTATCAAATTCTTCTTTACATTTCTACTTACAAATGCTGATTGAATCTCTCCCCAGGCTGTCTCTTGAGATCTTTGTAGAGTTCTCCCCGTGCTGCGAATTCTAGCACAAGAAATATTTTTTTCTCGTCATGGAAATAAGTCAACAATTGTAGAATATTAGGATGTCTCAAGTGCGATTGAATTTCTATTTCACGTAGTGCCTGTTTTTCCACACGACCTTGTACGAGCTCCTTCTTGTACAGAGTTTTCAAGGCCACCATGTAATGGGTGCTCTTCTCTCTTGCTAGAAACACTCTGCCAAATTTTCCTCTGCCAAGAGGAGCCCCTAACTCGAAGTCATTGAAACTCCATCGATACCTAAACCAAATTAATACCAATACATCCTCTTTCATACCTCAATTGAGTATTCGATGAATATCTCTGAATCTAAGAGAGACAGCAAAATTTTTCCCAAAACCTCTTTTGTCGAGATGAGTGAGAGCTACAAAAAAGTTTCTACAAAAATTTTTCTATCTCTCTTGAATTCAGAGGTATTCATCGAATATTCATAATAATTCAATTAATCTTTTGGCGAGTGAAATGCATGGTTGACATTTCAAGAAAAGGTAAAAGAGTATATTTTATTCCTGAAATTCGAAGGGTGTTATTACCTGCCATTCGAACCCTCGACATGTTCCTGCATAGCACTGATACTCTCTACGACTCCATTCTGATGCTCCAAAGGTATATTATTTGGAATTCTAAATTTTCCACCCATAGTTACCATTGTTTTCTCTCCAAATTTTCCGTTAATAGCACTCACTAAATCTAGACGAAATCACTGTAAAGAGAGGTATCACAATTGGGTTGATGCCGATATTGATGCTCCTGTAATTCTCCAGTTCTATTTCTATTATTTATTCGTCATCGATTGATTTTTAATGAAAAATTAACTTTAACACTACGATATTGAGTTTCTATTTCATTATTAACACGAATATAAATTACAAACATTCACTGTGTTACACCAGAGCAGTTGATGCTTGCAAGTCTTTTCCCTCGTCTCGCCAACGGACAAATTATTTTGAATACTTTCAAGTGACTGTCGCTCCCTCTGCAATATTAATTATTGGGGCTCATCTCCAATGCATGCGTCGATTGTTTTGAGAGCCAAAATTCAAATTATATAAAAAATAAAAGTTGGGTGAATTTCACCTCAATTTTTGGACAATAAATAATTTCAAATTTTTTTTTAATTCCTCTGTATTTATCGTGTCTTCTGTTATACTTGCATTTTTATACTGGAATTTTTTTAAAATTTGGAAAAATCTAGCTTTTTGAAAAATTATACAGAAATTTTATTTTTAGAATTACAGGTAATAATTTTTATTATTTTTTGTGTTCATTTTGGATTTAATTGGAAAAATCGACTTATTGTTTTCCCCCAATTTGTTATAGATTTGAAATTTTCAGTAATGATAATTCTATTGAGAACTCTCAATCTATGTTTACTAACCCGTGTTTATTTTTCTCCTGATGTACTTACAAATCTTGTTAGTCTAATATCACATCAAGAGAGAATAACAAATGTCGTTGGTGAATTAAACAGCACCGTTTCACTGACTTTTGAGATTTAAATAACAGATAAAAGATAGAGAATGGTTTTTAATATTTTGCAATTCCATTCGGAAGTAGCAGAGCTGGAATATTGGAAAAATCTAGCTCATGAGAGGGGTGAGGCATTAGAGGAATTGAAAGAGGAAAATAAAGATCTGCTCTCATCTGTAAGCGCTGTCGAAAGACGATACAACGATGCCAAGGAGTCGCTTTCTGAAGTCCTGAGAACGTCTGATACTTTGAAGGAAAATTTGAACAGAATGGAAGGTCGATTGGAGAACCTGCAGACCAGAATGGACCAGATTGAGATCAAGAAGAATACTGAGTATCGTGATATACACAAGAAAATCAACAAGTTGCAGAAGGATGTCATCATGTTGGAGAGGAGTGTGAAGTCACGAGAGAAAAAACCTTGGAAGGTAAAATCGAGGGTTGACTAGGAAATAGACAACAAAAAAAAATAAAAACAACACTTGGTTCAATAAAATTTGAGGAAAAACTGTAATTATATGGAAAATAATATCGAGAGGTCAATGATAAAAGTGGAATAAATTAACAAGAAAAATTGTCGTGGATATATAAAATTGATTTAAATTATGTTTTTTACTTTTGATTTTATTTTTTTTTTATTTAATTACATTTTTTCCAATGAATTTTTTCAGTGAGAGCTGTTAGATATCACCAGGAGCGCCGGACATTCGATCGGAGAAAAATCAATGTTCAGCAGACAGTGATAATTTATTAATTTTTATTATAAAAATGTTACTCTGAGATTCCAAATAATGTACCACTGTAATTTTATATTTAACGTGTGCTATCGCTGGAACGTAGCCGGACTAACAACATATTATTTAATATAAAAAAACTGTTCAAAAACCCTTACAGTAATTTTGCATTAAGAAAAATATCCGAGAGCAATAACCAAGACAATAAATTTAAGGAAACATTACACACGTATGAAGATTATGTCATTATAATTATTTTCAAATAGAAAGTTTTGTATTTTTGAAGGAACAAATTAGAGACCAAAAAATTTAATTGTACTCGTAGATTACGATGAATTTAAAAAATAAACAGAACGAGAACAATCAACTGGAGAAGACTTTGATTTCAAAAACATATCATTCCTCAGAAACCACTCGAGGCGGGACAATCAGACGATATTTTTATTGTTGATACTGAGGATTGTTCGCTAACGAAAACTTCGAAGAAAGTTTCAGGTTTCTTTGAAATCGCCAACGGCTCTCCACAGCCTGGAAGCGCTTTGAATTCGGACTGATAGATCAATTCTCGCTACCGCATGATGTCATCCACCCAGTAGATAAACACCACTCAAAAAATGGACGGTCGATTTTTCTACAGAGAATAATGCGAATAAATCCCCTAATTAAATTATTAACTTGAGTTTTAAATAAGTATAGTCATTTGCAGTCCTTTACTAACTTTTTTTTCAATAGAAATCATTATTTCTATTTTTATAAATAAATTGGCGGTTTTTTTTTGTTTTTTAGCCTGCCCACCGAGTCCCGAAGAGGGGGAATCTGACGCGAACGACAGCCAATCGGATTGAAGGCAGAATGAGCCGCTCGATCTATCTGAGATTCCCCTAATTCGAATGTTCATCGGTTCGTCACTCTTGTCTCCGACGTCGCGCAGTTAATCTCGAAATTTTTGTGCTCTGCAAAATCGTCTTGATCACCTCATCTCTAATTAAAAATGAGTTACCAGTAAGTATTATTAATCTTAACTAGTAAATCCGTCACTTCATCTCTTGAAATAATAACCCGGAAGATTCTTTTTCAACAAAAATTTCACGATCATACGACGACCTCCAAACCCTTCGCGTTGTGCCTGTTTTTTGTTGAATAGTAGTGGTTTTTCTAATTATGAGATTGTTCTAATTATGAGATTAATTTATAGGTGAATGTAATGAATGAAATTTGTGTAGGTACACTGCTGATGGACGTATCAAAGTTTGGGTGGATGCGTCTTTCAACCCAAATTCGGGGAGAGGAGGTATTGGTGTCTGGTTCAACCATTACCATAGCAAGTAAATATTTTCCACGATTCAACCGAAATTCTAATCAATCATAAAAAATAGTGACCAAATTTTTCGTTATCCTTTTTTCAGAAATGTGAATGGGATTTGCACTGCACGCGATAATAACGAAGCGGAAGCACTTGGCCTGTAAAATGCCTGAAATATGTTGTTTTATACTTTATGTATTCTGAAAACAAAATGACAATTTTATAATAAAACCTTATTGCACTATGCAATATTGACAAATAATTATGGCGTTATATTTTTTATTTAACATGAACTTGCATTCAGTCAGTTGATGGCATTTATTGTACGTAAACTAAAACAAAACAAAAAACAAAACAAGGTTACAATCAAAATTATTGTAAAGATTTGCAAGCATTTTATTCTGTTGAGTGGTACAATCACTCGATTCTTCATTTGTATTCCTCGATCAGTGAGTATGGATCCCAGAATTCCTTCTCAAAAAGAAATACGAGATTGTCTTGGGTCGACATTGGCTGATGCTTTTTTTGAATTGAGTAATCCAGTTGTAAGAACATTTGTGGGGGTTACTCCACCACTTCAGGGTCCGGACGAACACTTATGGCATTCACCAAGTGATCAATTGATTAATAAAAATTGCCTGAAGACGCCAGTCACCAGTTCAATCACCCAGGCAACTACTCATCGAGGAGTCCTAGGTGATCACTTCGGATTTTTTATTGAAAATCATTCTGAATTCATTAACATCTAGTTTTGTCTTAGAATTAGGAGAAAAGGCTTTGAGGCAGTACGACGTTGAGCTTGAGAGAAGAATACGAGAATCTTTGTTTGCGGAAATGAAAAATTTTCATTTACTCCTTGAGGCTGAACAGCGGCACATCACAAAAACTCGGATTAAAAAAATTGAGGATGAATGTACATCACGAATTAATAATCTGACGAAAGATTATGATAAGAAATTAGAGGCAAGATTATTATTTTTTATTTATCAGGGATGTGAAACTAGAACTGATTGAACATTGAGATGAATTTTCGAAAAAAATTTTTATTGCTGGGCTAATTGTTAATAAATCATTTGAAATTAAAAATGAACGTGGAAAATTTTGCAGGAAGCTTTGGACGACGTTATAACTCGATACAATAAAATATTGCAAAAAGCTGTGGTGCAGACGCGAATGAACGTGACACTTGAAATGATGAAGAAGATGAGGGAAGAAGTGGAATTTATTGTCACCGATTTGAACGCAGATTACGACAGGAGATGTTCCATACAGCGAGAAAATATGATTGCTGATTTCAATGTTATAATTCGGTAATTCGTCGAGATTAATTATAACGGTAATTATTTTCTTCAATCTCTAACAAATTATCGTGTAGGAAAGAGCGAGCCAAAATGAGAGACACCTTCGACGAATGGCAGAGGAAAAAACTTGAGGATTTAGAGATAGCTCAGACGAAAATGGCAAATGAATTCGAAGAGAAAGCAGTAAAACTCATTCGGTGTGAGCGATTCATTTGTGATAACGAAAAACGCAAGATTCAAGAGAATTTCCAGGTATAATCCTTTAATTATCATTACTACTCCAGGATTATCAATAATAAAATATTATTTGTGTATTTATAGAAAATCGTTGAGTCGCTGCAGCAATCATTAGAAAAGGCAAACGATGAGATTGCAAACGCGAAAGAAACACCAGTCGTCATTATTCCCCCGGACGATTCCATGTGGAAATTTAAAATAAGACATATCCTAGAGGAATTCCAAAAATTCATCAATTTTGTTCTCAAAACTTCGCCAGATCAGTCCAGCATTTTACTCCCACGAGAGTCCTTATTACGATTTCCAGGTGATGATGAAGATTAAGTATTCTATTCCACAATTCGAAATTTATGAAGACAATTATGACGTGCTCTATAAAAAATTCGAGTTTCCCTCTGGATTTGTTACTGCGTGGATGATGAATATGATGAAAGATGAAAACATAATTGCATTGAATTGAATTCTGATAGCTACAATCGTATATTGAAAAACAAAGAATGAAAATCAGTTCTAAAATAATAATTTGGTGAATCCATTGTTACAAATTGAATCGAGAAGTCAATTTCGAGTTGAATGCTGGAGACATCCTCTACGCGATGTATTTATTCTTCGTCATGTAGTCATGCAGCATCCACTTGTCCTCCACGACCCCACGTTTGATGCCCATGGGTTCCATAAATCCTTTGACATCATGGGTCATCATTTTTTGGTCCATGCCCCGCATCATCATCATCATCTCTGCGTTGTCGTTGACGTGGTAGATGTTAACGTCCTTCATGTACATGTTCTTCAAGTCCATGAACCACGGCATCATGGGTCTGTCCAGTGGGAAGCCAAGAGGCTTGCCATCCATCACCAACTTACCGAACATGGGCATGTCGATGACGTGGAAGTGGGACTCGTCGATTGGAGTCAACACCACGAAGAGCTTGAAGGCCATACCACCAACACGACCTCGTGGCAGATACAAATTCGTTGGGAATCCAGTGTATTTGTCCTTCATTGTGAATGGCTCAGTTCCCTCCAGGGCTTTGTTCAATTTTGTCATCATGCTGGCACCTGTGTGCAGGTTCTTGCTGCAGTGCATGCAGTCCGTACTGAGGCGGGTAATTGTGTTCATTCCAGGTGTTACTGAAATCAAACGAACCTCCATGAAAAATTATTCCTCATCTTACTATCTTGATCTTCATCTTTCAGAAATCGTTAATGAATTGTTCCCGAAATTGTTTCAGTGATGTAATTACAGAAATTCCTTTGCCCGTTTTAAGATTTAAAGGAAATTATGAGATCTAATTGAAGGAAGAGTTAATTGAACAATCAATTGAAAGACTTACATTCAACTGTGAATTTGTCCAGCATGACGAAGTCGTACCAGTACTTGTAGAGGCACATGTAGTCGTTGTTCTTGCACATGTTCATGGCAGGTCCCAGGAAGATCCTCACCATGCTCTTGGTGTTCTTATCGCTCTTAACGAGCATTTTGTAGGTGAACGGTTTGCTCATGAGGCACATTTTCTTCGCCTTGAGATTCCACTTCATTCCTTCCTTCATAGAGTCAACAGTCAAAGCGTTGTTGATTGAGTACTCGCATTTGTCCATGTAAGTCATCATCTTCTCGACCTTGACGTCCTCAACAATGACACCAGCAAAATCGAGTTCACTGCGAGTATAAGCGGGGAGATTGCACTTGTACCTCAAGAAGAAGCCGGTGATGATCTTGCACATGCGGTAGAACATTGGATCGCGAAGGGCTGCGGTGTAGGTTTGGAGGACACTCGGTATCATGCAGTTCTTGTGTTTGCAGTCGTAGTTGGCACCCAGGAGATTCCTGTAGAGGATCTCGATGGCACCGTAGTAACGAGTGTTGCAGGAGTTGGTGTTCCCTTCGATGAGATCCCCAAGCATTTCAAGACCACCGTGTGTGTAGATGTTGATGTATTTTCCATTTTTGTCCATGATCATTCCAGAGTCGATGGCATCGAAGATACGTTGCTCGATGTTCATGATCTCCTTGACGTACTTGTACTTGTACATTGGTACATTCGTCCAGAAGTGGCGGTTTGGAACGGCAACACCATTTGAGTAAACGAGATTCGAGTAGAAGCCGGGGACTATCATCTTGTTGATGTTCAAGTCTTCCATCTCTTTGAGGCCAACTGACATGCGTTCCATATTGTAACGAGCTAGTAATTGCTGGTGGATGTAGTAGTAGAATTGACCGCGCATCATGTGCTCTGGCATGATCATGTCCTTCATGGGTAGCCAGAAGGGGAATAGGGTACGGATGTTGTAGTAGTAATTGTTCAGACGTACGTCGTGGGTGAAGTAGGCAAGCTCGCAGTCCTCGTTCATGTTGCACATCGTCATCATTTGAGTCATGTTCGTGTGGTCGATTACGTGGTAATCCATGCTCTCCATACCCATCGTTGGCTTGGTTCCTGAATAATAAATATACGGGAAGATTGTTATAATCTAGGGATTATTAATTCATCAATTACCGGTCATCATCTTGATGCGACGAGCCTCATTGAGGACGGTGTTGTCAAAGAACAGGTCGGGGTAGACTTCGTACATCGGTGGGAGCATGATGCCCTTGCAGTCGGGTCTGAACAACACAGCAGTATGAAGAGCTGTGATGAACATTCCTTTGTTCATGTAGAGTCTACACCAACATGCCGTCTTGTAGAAAGTCATGAAGTCTTTGGCAGTGTACAGCATTTTGAACAGCACAACGAGTTCTTCTCGGTGTTCCTCGTAGAACACCGAGAACAGAGCGTCACGGCGCAGCATTCCCAGGCGGAATCGGTACATAAACTCCTTGACAATCATCTGGAAATTCAGATTTATAAAACCATAATCATCGTAATCATAATCTTCAATGATGGAGAGAAGAATTCCAAATAATTGTAAATTTTGGGGAAAAAATTCAGAATCAAGAAGAAAACTATGAAAATCGGTTCAATTATTGAAATCTTTTGCTTTTTAAGTCATGGATCATTTATTTTCATTGCGAGGAAGTATTACCTTGTCGTGGAACATTTCCATGTTGCTCTCGAGGTCGAAGGTGCGTCCGATCTCGTAGCACTCGCTACCGATGAGTTTCGATTGTTCAACGTACATGAAGAGTTCGTAAATCTTCTTCTGCTTGTGGATCAAATCCATGTCACCAGTTCGTAAATCGCTGGTGATGGCCTGGGTGAGGCCGAAGGCCGCAACCGCCAGCAACAGAATTTCTTTAAACATTTTGAGATATCTGGAAATCTATTGGGATGCACTCAGGGACCACAACAGAATGAATGATTTGTGGGGGATTTTTTCACTCTTTTATACCTCGAAAACTCAGATACCGAATTGCTGATCTTTGATGACCCATCATCGTGAGCACAACAAGCGTCATGAATGAACATGCTACATTGATGCAATCGTTCTTTGATAATTACTTTTGATGCATTTTAATTTCATCAATTTGTAATTAAATACTACTTAATCACTTAATTATACTCTAATAATAATTGATAATGGTTTATCATTTCATTTGGTATTGAATTAAATCTTCAAAACCCCAGACCTCCCCCTGTTTTCAATCATTTTTTATCGGTTTTAATGACTGAAATAAAGTTACGCATCAATTATATCTTAATACTGACAATTATTTAATATTTCTATTTGTTAGTCTAGTGATTTATCATTGGGATTGATTTATTTATTTTCTCTCTGGGATGAACAGAATTTTTGAGGTTTTTATACGTTTTGGAGAAAATTGAAATTGAAATTGAAATTGAAATTGAAATTGAATAATTTTTTAATATTATAGAAGGATTTATTTTTAAAATGAGTTCAACGGACTGGAAAAAGATGTGCCTTCAAAAATCAATATTTCATCTATACCTTGACCAAATCCAAGAGTTGATGAACTCTTTCTTCACGGAAATTTCCCAGAGTTCCTCCCTCTTTCCTCCGGTTTTTTTCCGCAAAGCCAGAATTATCCCAGCTCTATCAGGGTCCATAAAAATGTTTTGCAGAAATAATAAACCGTTCCCCGGAATCTTAAAAAAAATTCCAACGCAGCGAAATCGATTCCCTAATTAAGAGTTACGAAATTATTTACATCTGTCGAGGGTTGTTAATTGTTCTTACATTATTGCAATCGGTGTTACTGAATTATTTTGATTTAGCGTTATCAGAGGTATCGGTAGGTACTCAAGGTCATCATGTGGCACTTGACGGTGGGATGCGGTGATAACCCGTTAATATCGAACGAAAAAACGGGGAGAATTTTTAATCAATATTGATGTTTTCCACTTAGTCAACGAATAAATTGTGCAATATTGTTGCATTTATCTACATCACCGAAATTACAAGTGGAAAATATTTTTTTATCTGGGAAATTCTTCACTGTTTCCGGATTCTATAAAATTATTGTTACATTCTTTGAATTTTCCTAGATAAACCGAGGGATAAGGACATGAAGTTTATATTTTTAATTTATATTTCAAGTTCATTATTATGTTCATTTGATTATATTTAAATTTGAATTTTTAAGTTTTTTTTTTTTGGGTGGTAGTGCAATTTTCATGAGGAATATTGGAAAAGAAATTCATTATTTCCGGTTTTTTCCGCAGATTTATTTCCTTTTCAAATTTTCCCGGTTACTGACGATCTTCGTTACCATCAGTCCCTCCAGGGCATCTTACCGACTCATGTCCCTGCTTTATTATCCGCGGAATTCCTGGGGGTGTCTCCCAAAAATCTTCGAATCGGCTACTGAATATTCAGGAACCGCCAATACAAGATGTAAAAAAAAAAATCCTAAGTACCGAAAAGAAAATACTCGTAAACCCCTCAAAATTTTCCCGCGAATTCCAAATTCAAATTCTCATTTTATCCCATAAAAATATATCCCCCAATTTCGGTGAAACTCGGATAAAAATGGCGCAAAAATCCAAAATTTCAAGTTTCATTTTTCGCAGGACGTAATTTTTCCCCAGACTTACGGAATTTCCTCGTAAATTTTCATGGACTTCCGGTTTTTCCCGAATTTCCGTGAAGACCAGAATGACTCAATCGAGGAGAAAGCCTTTCCCTCACACGGATATAAAAAAAAAGGGCAGTTACTCGTTTTGTGGGTGGCGAGGGGGTGAAAGGGGTAGAAGGGGCGTAAGGGGTGGATGGGGTGGATGGGGGTTGCACTGAAAATCCTCGCAAGTGTCCGGTCGGCAAGTTGTCCTTGCATTACCATATCATTGAAACTTGTAAGAATTCAATTTGTATGGCGCACGTGGCCGGATGAAGGGATATTTGCAGATGGTGCCATCCCATGGGGTGGAAGGGTGGGGTATCGTCCATTATACAGATAAATTTTGGTTGCTACATGCTATAGAAGTCGTCGGGTGTCCGCGGTGAAACTGAGGTTTTCCGCCCTTTTTATTTCCACTCACCGTTCCCTTTTTAACGATTTTTTATACCACCGTAAATGGCTTGACCATCACGATTCCCGGATGATCTCGCCATTTGTATTGTACATATCTCATAAGTTTTCTTAGTTCCCATTGTCTCGTGAGAATGCCAAATAGAAAGGGATTTCAACTTGTGTTGAATGATTTTTCCATCAATTGAATTGCAAATTCGGGGGAGAAGAATAAATATTTAAATATTTGGAATGGAGGGTAATGGATGGATATCATGTGGCAATGTATTCACAAATCCCTTCGTGTGACTCAAAATCATACAAATGTACAATACGTGCGCACGGCGTTGAATAGATTTAAAAAATTTTTTGTATAAATAAAAATTATACATTCTGCCGCGGGGAATCCCCGCTGTATATGATACCACATTGGACCACCATTACACACTCCTATTATTGTTTTCCCCTCTGAGTAATCACGGTGGGATTTGTATTTTCTAATGAGATTTTGAGCCGACGCAGGTCGAGGATTTTCCAGAGATTTTCGCGGAAAGAGTGCATTTTCCTCGTTCTATTTTATGCTATTACAATTATTACAAAATTTTCGGAAAAATCTTCCAAAAATTTTGGGAAAATTTAGAAAAAAAATTTTCCGATTACATTTTTTCTTTACCTAGGCAGTTGAGGACAGGATCTTCAATTAATTGAGAAGGTATATTCTGTTAATAATATCAGAGCAGTGACATTGCCATGCATATCAATGAAATGCAGATGTACTGTAGCTGTTAATTCGCCAGAGCTAGACATACGTTGCATCGTTGTATATAATGATGAGTTGTATCTCATTAGGTGGCTTGCGACGTAATACCATTTAGTGGAATACCGAGAGACTGTTCGGGCCTTCTCCAGAGGCAAATTACCGTATACATATGTGTATGGCAATCCAGACCCAGTGTCACGGGACAATTGAATGATTTATCAACAATACCATTTGATAAACCATTATCACTTGATTTTTACGTTACACTCGGATAATCCGATATTTTATTTTCAGGACAATCAGCTCACCGGATTCCCTCATTATCCTATACCCTGTGGCACATTGGGGGATTATTTGTTGCTGTATTACGGAGATTATGATCATCATTTATGACTTTCACTTTGCTACTCCTGAATGGCCGATTTATTACACCAGAATCAGAGGACTCATAGTAAGATGAATTGGCCTTTTGATTCATTATTGTTTGCTGGTTATTATTACTGCATATTTCTTCTGGACAATGGAACTCTTGAAGAATCACCAGCAACACTTTTTTTCTCTCTTGATTCATTATTCTCTCTCCGGTCTAACCATTAACACGATATTACCTGCAAGTCGAAATCATTAAATTCTATTCAATTCCTCAAATTTTGTGGAATTCAATTTTTCAATCACTAGAAAATCCCGGAGTTTCTGAGTTGATTGATAATATTATTATTTGTTTTAATTTTTGTTGTGCGAGGATGTCCTGAAGTCCGAATTTGGGATCAAATTTTTCCAATGGATTTTTAATTCAATTAAATTTGACGTTTTCAGGATTTCGTACTTCGAAATTCCTGAATAATTAAATTGATTGCTTCATTTTTTTGGGTTGGTTCAAAGGTACTACTGGGGCAAACAGTAGGAGAGAAACAGCTCATCATTAGTGGAGGATTTTCGAGTCATGCATTGGATCTGTTGTCCATCACCTCGGGCTGACTCAAACTTACAAACATTTGTATTGAGAACCAGTTGAGGATTCTGTTTTGGAGGTGAAAAAAGGAATATGGGGGACTGAAGGGCAAAACGAGATGGGCCTCTTCACGGCATGGGGGCTTTTGTAGCTTCGCCTGGATTATAGTCACTATGACGATGACCATCCAACTTCTTTCAGGGTAATGTGCTTTTAATGTTGATTAAATTTACGAGAACTTTTGTGTGTATTCCACACTTGGGAGACTGAAGACATGATTTGCTTTGTGGCTGGTCTGCCTCCGAATGGATGGCTATTGGTATGCCATATATTTTTACAGCTGAATCACGTGCCAACAGCACAATGACCAGCCTTGAACCTCCAGGGCTCTGGGGTAATTAGTTTGCCCATTATATTTCTTCTACCGCGAAATTATAACAATTTTTCATTCCCATTTTCACTACAACATTTTAACTCCATTGGCAAGACTTTCATTGGATTTTATTAAATTCTATTCTTTATTAATCATCCTTAAATTAAAGTCGGGAAAATAATTGAGTAATAATTAATAATCAATTTATTCTTTACAATCTGTAAATTTTATTATTCTCAGTTGTTTTAATTGTTGGATCATTTAGTTATGAATTGTTTTGGTGATTTTTAATTTATTTTTATTTTATTTATATTTAATGGGAATTATTCTCTTGAATTCTGGGGAATAACGGAAATTTTTTCTTTTGCTTTTTGAGACATTTTTTTTTGCGTGCGAAAGTGCATAAAATCCCGTGCTGTTGACATAAACCGAAATGTTTTGAGATGAGATTTAAAAATGTTAATTCAGAGAAAGAGCCGGCGGTCACGTGTCGTCACGACGGTAAAACGAGATAAAGCGGTGGTTTTAATCTCAATAGGAAGAGCAATTCAAAACAAGAGGGTGATGTGCACGAATGACTTTCTGTATATCATCGGGCTATCTAAAATCGCATCTCGGATCATGTCGAACAAGCCTGTGTACAATTATTAGGGGTGGAGAGGGCAAAATCAGGAGAGCGATTTTCGGGTGGGATAGGAGCACGTGCCGCCACGCGTTGCGGGTATTACTTTCGGGTACATCATCCGGAGGTGATGAGAAAATGGGTGTGATTGACCGGATAATTTC